AATATTATCATTTATTAATTGATTTAATAAAAGAAAGGCGTACATAGATGAAAATCTATACTAAAACTAACAGATTTGTCTAATATTTTACAAGAGGAGTTAAATTAATTTCTATTCTACCAAGATTTGTTTGTGCAAATGCTTATTCCCATGGTATTTTGATAAGCCAACTCGTATATCAGGTGAAGCGATGATATCCATCAGATGACGATTATTTTGTGTCGACACTAATGATGATTGTTGTGTATATTGAAAAATTCGCTAAAGACAATCATTTTGCATTATGCAATTCTCTTTTTACTCACCCAGTTCATTAGATTTGATTCAGTATTGGTTAATGTTATATCTCTATAGATATATTTACGTTTGGAAAGATCAGGTGAGGGTTGTAAATCATGGATTGTTATTTGTTGTTTTTGTGGAAATTCGTTTTCTTCGACTGGTTCGTGTATGCTCTTCTTGGAGACACGATGCGATTGATGTGAACGTTGCTTTCTCTTTTTGTTTCTCAGAAACTTTTTCAATTGTTTCTTGAAAATACTTCGTCGACGTAGAATAGCACGTAAGATTCTTTTCTTTTTCAATTTTGTGTGGTGAACATCATAAGAATGCTTATCAAGTAAAACAACATTTCGATAATGTGCATCAATTTGTCCACTCATTTGCAACGGCGGAGAAGGTTTGGATACCGGAAGATTGTTATTGAATAAACATAAAGAAGATAGTTGATTTTCTTCAATAGTAACAATCGAAAATGGTTGTGTTGACAAAAATCCATTTGATGAAGGCAGACTTTGCATCAGTTCTTCACTTGTAATCGAAAGAGTTGCATCATTTTGTTTATGGACGATTTCTTTACTATTTGATAGTGTTGCTTGTTGCAAGAAATGACAGATACCTATGATTTGAATATTCAATGACAAGAATGAAATTCAGTTCGTTTACCATGTTCATCAACAGCAAAAACTGAAGTATTCAAAGATGTTTTCTGTTCTTCTCGTCGATCACTTTCAGTATCCATGTGACGAATATTCAAATACGAAACGAAAACAATTCTAACGGAAAATGTGCGATGATATACAGTACATCCATAAAATATCTTTGGATGCAATCAAGTCAACAAATGAACATTTAATTAGAAAGATGCCCGAAGAGAACTGAACTACGTCGAGATATTCAACTACTCGACACAAAAGTGTAATCTGAAGAAGTATTCCCTTGCTTTTATTAATGAATTAAACGGTGAAATAAGAGGAGAAAATGATTTGATACTACGAGGAGAAACTAAACTTTCCATTCATCAGGCAAAACTTTCCAAGTGCCAACATTTTCGACAGGTGAAAAGAGCAGCATACGCATACAGACAATAACGCCGAAAACCATCGAAGCAAGAAGAATGAGACCAATAAGAGCAAATATAATGATAAATATCACTTGAGTTAGTTCGTTGACTCGTTGTTGTTGATCTAAATTACTGTTCAAACGACGAAAGATACGCGATAATGGCGATTCAATTGTTGGTAACTCTTCACTATCATGTGATGAATCAATTGAGACTGCTGGCGGTGGTTTCGCCGTCGTCGGCAAAGATTTTTGATAATTTCTAAATCAATACCAATTAGGTTTGTTCATCATGGAGAGGTTTCTTTTTAACTTACGTGATTCGATTGGTATATCTGAATAAGTATTGTGTCGATGTGTCTGGTGTGTTTGTTACCTGTACAGCTAAATTGTTCAATCGGAAAAGTAGTTATCAGATCAAACGGATTTTTTCCTACGTTTGTCACAGTGTTCGCCTTGATATGAAAGGGAACATATACAACGAAAACCCTTCGTACTAGTCAGTTCATTGACACATTGACCATGATTGTGACACAAATCTGAATCTACGTCACATGGCTCTACAATGAGTCGTAACAATATGTGATAGATTATCAAAAAGGAAAGCAAGCAGAAAAAGAATTACGTTTTTCGCACTTTGTTGTCAATGCATTGTAGCGCAAACCTGGTTGACATTTTTTTACTGTACTCGTCCCATCATCTTCACATACTACGAATTCGTCAAGTCTGTTTGCAGCAGGTAAATGAGTACCAGAAACATAGTCACGGCAGATGGTATCTAAGCAAACAGAACGAAATCTCGCTGAAAAAATCATAAAGATAATACTTGATTTGATCATTGGAGTATTATCCATATCCATGGGTGGTTCATATTGGCAGTTGACCTAGAGATAAAAAGTAGTACATATGGACAGAATCTTCTTCATTGTGGTTGGCTCTATGTACTAATTGTTTTGGTGAACACATGAATAATTTCGGATCGAAATGAAGTCCATCTGGACATTGAAATACTTCATGTTGTTTATTCTGATGACAATAGTGAAATAATGAACAATCAAGAACATCAGGGTAGATTCCGGTTTGAGTGCATTTCGATGTAGTAGACTTTCGACGATGATAATAGTCGTATCCTCAAAAAATAAGTATCAGTACAGTTTATCAAGAACGTTATTCTAATGTACCTTTGACAGGTTCAGCCGAAGGAAAATACTCTGTTTCAGCCATTATTTTTAAAATCTCTGCACATGTCGTTGTGTTTTCCTACTCAATCGAAGGATGCTTCATATCAGTGAAATAAAAGGTGAAATAAAGACTGACCACGGATAGATATTGACACTTGCCGCTCGATGGATTAAAAAAGAATCCATCAATACAAGAATAGGTTGTCAAAACTCCGAATGTGCACATATGAAATAGCGAGCAATTCGTCGTGTGTACATACGCACCGCTTTCAACAGGACATTTTTGAAAACCAGGATCATCATTGGATGCCAGTAACGGTATTGGAAATACACTTCCTAATTACACAATCAAAGATAAAACAATAAATCAACCGTGGCAAGTATTACCGAACGATGCATCAGTCAAAACTCGATGAATATGTATAAAAAGAATACAGACAATGAAAATGATCGTTCGCATCTTTCTCCTCGCTGTTCAAGTACCGATCTGAATATATACCTCTTTTGAATTACATCAAGATCGGTCGCGCTTGATTTGATTGTAATATATTAATAAGACGAGGTTATATGCTCGATGAATACATCTACATACTAAACGTCGTAAAGTAATGTACAATCTGATTATTCATTTTGATGTATTATTGATGAACAAGTTCAATGATTCGTTCGTTTATTTAACCTTCTTTTTTTTGTCAAGCGTTCTGTCGAGTATATAAAGACACGATAATAACTTTCGATTCGAACAAATATGTTTAAGTATCTTTGATGTTCAAAATTCTTTGTGATTTATTCCTTACGCAACAAACTCGATCATCGTTTTCTTTTTCAAAGTAAATTTATTTACAATTTCTATAGTACAGAACTTTAATTTGAAATACTATTTTCAAAACTTCGCGTGCGTTTCCGATAACGACTCGGAATCCAAGTACATTTCGGACAGAGGTTCCAAAAATTCCGACGGAATTGCATCGATATCAAATAATGAACAAGGAATTTATTCGAATAGTTGATCGCCATTAACAACAGACAAAACTTCATCAACATTTTCCATTGAGCGAATTTCAAACAATTGATTTGTGACGCGTCGGTAATCCGATCGTTGAAAAAGTACGAATGAAATAACTGAAGAATATTCAATGGCATCACGCTCAACGTATAATAGATCGAATAAATGACAAGTAAAAGTGATGCTGTGCGCATATGTCGACTTCCAGTTGTTTCGCTCGTTGTTGACGGCCGACGGTAGTAACGATTCCTCAGGATAACCATTGAACATATACAAATGATAATGCATGGAAGGAATGCTAAAAGACTAAGACGAATCACTGGCCAAACTTTGCCATGCCATAGTTCAGCATAGGAATAATACTCGCAAATGTTATATGAATAAGAGAAATAAACCGAGAAATGATATTGAATAATAACAAGCGAAACGGTGATGATGATTAAAATGATTTTTATTAATGCTTTTGTTCGTGTTACAAATGTTGAATATCGACTAGGATAGACAACAATCCAAACGCGATCAATCGAGGCAGCTGTAAGGAGAAGAGTTGAAATATGAGATGAGCCGATCAGTAAACTGTAATATGTTCCGCATGTCAGAACATCGCGAGGGTCACGTGCTAATGACAATGATGAACACCACAGCCAGAAAACAACTACAAATAAACAAAAGCATGTTTTGCCGGAAAGTTCCATTCCATGTTGCTCCCAGAAAGTACTTCCGATAAAAATAAATTTCCGATCAATATTCGAACAACTCTATGCTAGAACTTCCGTTTTCCCTCGGTAATTTTCATATGAATTTCGATTTCTGACTAAATGAGAAGTACATACTTATGAGGAAAATAATTTCGAATATTGCCATCGTAGCAAAATAGAGACAAACAGGTTGTCTTCGATTTCTAGCGCTGAGCATAATGATAACTACCAGAATATGTCCCGGCATTCCCAACAGAACACATATCAATGCGCCAAAACGCCAAATAGTTTCGCCAAGTAAATAATATGGGTGATTTTTGCACAGTTCGACAGCAATCGGGGTTAAAGATTCAGTAAAATTATTCATCTTGAGGACGTTTGAAAAGATCGTGGGTATATATATACACACACTCTGAACTACGCAATCATTATTTTCTTCTTCTTCTTCTCTTTTCGTTAAGTATTAATAGTAGGCGATGCTATCGACTCGAATTACCTGACTATGTATAGTCATTAGATTGAAGAAAATCAGAAGGAAAGAACACAAGAACTTTCTCGTATTCGTACTTTTATGCGTTGTAGAATATTCTTTTAGAAGAATAGAAAGAACAATATTGATGATGATTGCATAAAAGAGAGGAAGTAGCACAATAAGCGAACTTCGTCGTAGATTGTCTTTATTAGAACGCGATCAGAGAAATAGTCATTCAAGGACGTACTTGGTGATGAATTCAATGATTTTATTGAATTTAAATGATATACTACCAGTTCTTTTCAAAGTTTACCATCAATTTCTACAATTTTTAATAGTTCATCAACAAATTGAACAAAGATTGGTTCCATCATTGCTTTTTGCATGTCATCAGCTGGACTAATCGAACTATCTAATGATTTGATCATTGTTCGTAGATGACGATTTTTTAATAAGTCCAATATTTGCACTGACTGATCTAGAATTTCAATGAAAAACGATCTGCTATCTGTGTGCTGATAAAAACCGCAGACCAATTCGTTCGAGCATATGACTTGGCAGGCGATCACTTTCTTCATCGTCACCGAGTTCGATCGGCAATTGAGTTTGTGTCATAGGCACTAAATATACAATCAAATCGATCATTTGTCGCTCAGAAAATCACCATCGGCCCATGACGCACCTTCTTCTGTTGATTTGGATTGAGTGTTGACTGCCGTGCATACGTCTATATTTAAATAACATTTCGATGAGTCTCTATTGAAATCGTTCTTCATTACCGGAAGATTTATGTTTTTGACAACACGAAAGTGAACAACTGAAAACACATAAGAATAATAAACAATACTGCGGTATCATCTCACTTACTATCGGATTCGGCATTTCGGACATCTATAGGGAGCATTCTTGTTCTCATCACAAACTTGACATTGCATAGTTTTATTATTTCTTGTCTAAAATTATCGTCAAATCAGTACAAAAAAAACGATGAAGAATCACTTGAATAAAAAAAAACAAGAAGAATCAAACTGTTCATTCTTTAGAAAAATAAGTGTAAAAAAGAAAACACCTGTTTATTGTTCATTCGTTGGCAGAAAAAAAAGCACTCCGAAAAAGTTCATCTGACAATCGGCACAATTTCACCGGTGCGCGCTGCTTCGCGTATCGCTACTATTGCTTCTTGAACTTTATAAACGATATCGAAAGATGTGAGTTCAGTAAATGTTGAACGAGGCATTTGATTGATCAGGGATTCTTTCAGGTGCCCAATGAAATAGTAGAATGATTGAATAAAAATCAAAGGAATTTCCGGATTCTGTTTGGAAAAATCCGCGAACTTTTCATTTGTATCCGAATGAAACGAATCTATCAAAATCTGATCTTCAGTGTCAAAGCGACGCAAAATTAACCGGTAATCATTAACTAGCAATGCACATTTCGATGCAACAATGATCAATTCTTGATTATACGTTGATGATATGTGTGAATTCGATACGATGTTCACAAATACGGGTGGTAAACGTGTCGAACGATTATAATTTATATGAAATGAACATGTGGTTTCGTTTGGTGATTGTATATAAGCATGACTTATCGTTGACAAAGCTTGTGTACCAAAGAGATAGAATAGAATTGAAAGAGCAAATGAACCAAATCGATTTAGAAGACTACTATTAATTCGATCATCAGAACAGGATTTTAGCGAACAACATTGAATACGAAATTCAATTGATTGAACATTGCCTACAAGAAGTTATTCATAGAGTAAACAAGGATGTTGAATTTCGATCCTAGTTACCGATATTTGCTTGTTCTTCGATTAGAAAGCGTTTCAATTTAATAAATGTCGGCAAAAATCCGACTGGATAACAATAACAACATAATTGTTGTTGAACTTGCTGAACTGATATAAGCGATTTGGGATCGACATTGAATGGTGGCATACAAATCACATGATGATGACATGGTTTAATAATCGATGGATTGGTAATTCGTTTGATCAATGCGAGATGTTGATCTGCATCTGTACAAATAAAAATTAGATACGGTTGTGTTGCATTGTCGAGTAGTTGATCGAATGAAAGTGTTGAACAAGAGGATAGTTCGATGTTTAGTGTATCTTTACACAAAGCAACAAGATCTGTGGTCAAGCGATAGGGTGACCATAGATGATTGATTTGAAAACCAAATGCTCGCAATAGTGGCACAACAACTCTCACGATCGGATTCACGCCAACAATCAGAACTGGCGGAGTGGACGGCATCTGAAACATCAATACTTAATGTAAAATATAATATGAGGTAATGTTTTATTATCATTCATTTAACAATTTTCTCTACAGTGTTATAAACACCAAAGAAAAAAAGACACGTACAATTAAATAAAATTCCAACTAGACACGTTTGTTGTAGCATAATTAAGAGGAAAAAAAGTTCAAGGCTCACTTTACACATCCAGAGAATCTCTTGTCATGTTAACGTGGTGTGCAGATAACAAGTGGGCAAAATCGTAAAAACAACACACGAAATAGAAAATAAATGTCTATGATTGCAACTACTAAGAGAATAAGAGTTGTTTATGCACACTATGTTACGACTTTTTTTCTAAATTTCTGCATCTATACAATCTGTTTCTCATTTCTGTCGTGTTTTGTTTTTCATTTAAAAAATCAAACAGAGATCAACAATACTAAAAGACACTGATAGAGAAGGGAAACGATATAACCAATGATCAGTTTTTCTCCGACAATATAGATATATAGATATATGTATATATGAATACCGACAACAGGAAAAGAAGACAAGTTAAGTCTATTTACAACCACGAGAAAACAATAGAGAAAATGTCCCAAATGAAAAGAAAAACAATTCGTTTCGGAAGAACGATATCAGATCTTGAGAAAATAAATACAAATCGAACAAGAAAAAAAAAATAGAAGAAGAAGAAAACTTTGTCGACTGGATTCTTTTGCTATTCACATCTATTGCATTTGATGAACAAAATAGAGCAAGGTGACAAGAGATTAGATGCATATTATCTTCTATAATTTATGTCAGAAATCAATACACCCAACTAACAGGTACCCATTGAGGTTGAACGCTAACTCGTTCTATCGCATGTTGTAACTGAAAAAAAGCAAAACAAAAAGTAGAGAATATATGACAGATTGAAAGAAGAGTTTATGTACCGTGCGAATTGTTTCTTCAATATCATTGTTAACAATAACATAATCAAAATAATGTCCGTAAGCTTGTTGAAGGAGTTCACTCTCTTTGATTAATCTTTCTAAACTATCATCCTAGATGTATTTGAAAAAGAAGAAGTTGTTAGCAAGAACAAATCTCCAATGGGCTTTTCTTACATTAACGCCTTTAATTTGCGAGAGATCAGGTGCTGCAATAAAAACAACATAGGGAGCGAATTCGGCTGTTCGCAGAACTTTCAATGCCTGTGGTTCGACATCGAGAATGGCCATAAGACCCTGTCGATTGATATTTCGTATCGTTTCAAGTTTAGTTCCATACATGGCATCTTCATGTGTGCCATATTCTAAATACTCATTATTAGCAATATCACGCATCATTTCCTCGTGAGTAACAAAATAATAATTCTTTCCATTTTCTTCTTCTTTCTTCGGCAATCGTGTTGTATCTAAAATACGGAATTGAAACGATTCGATTCAGACAAAATAGATATTTACGAGGAATCGGATAGGCGAATTGCTTAGGTTGACTAGTAATTAATGTATTTTTGATATGTCGACGACCAACACCGTGTGCACCTAGAAGAAGAAAATCGTTGAGAAGAAGAAGGCGAAGATTTGTCGTTGATATTACCAAGTAGAACAAGTGTCTTTCGACGAAATTCAGGTAATCGAATTACTTCTTCGTACGTGACCAAATCAAGTTGATCAAACACAGCATTATGTTTAGCTAAATATTTGTCTTTCATGACTTTACGTTTTCGACTGAACACACCACAGTTAGCTAGACAAAAAAAGAAGAGAAATTTTCATCGTTAAATAGCAAAGATCATCGACAAAATGTCAGTCAGTAGAACGATCGAAGAAGTCTTTTGGACTAATTGGAATTAGGTTAAATGGTAATTGAGAAATGGAAGAGCATCACGGGTTAATCAATTTTAACTTTTCGCTCCAATAAGATCCAAATGATTTGAACAACGGAAGACTATTTGAATAATCTAATTACGAAAGAGTTCTTCCTTTTCTATCCTTGAGTCACAATTTTTCTCGTTTTCCATTTCTTCCTCACTCTCAGCAAACGATGTCATATCAGTCACTAATTAACTCACTACTAATTGATCAATCTCCTTCTAAATGTTCACAATCCTCGGACAAAAAAAATTCCCTTCGGAAATCAATTATAGCTTACCACTTCCATCTTTCGCTTTTTCAATTGCATTCGTAGCTATTCTCCATTCTTGTAATTCAGGCGATGGAATCAAACCAGCAGGTGAATTGTTGAAGTCACCATGATAATGATTGATTGCTTGTTCGTTTGTACTCTGCTGTGATGTGATCTTTTTCGCTTGCCACCAATTATGATCGTCTTTCGAGATCACTTGTAGAATATCTCCAATGCTAAACTTGATACCAGCTTGTGCACTCGGTATCAACTCATCGTCTTTAGGATCATAACTAAATAATGTTTTGACATAGATCTAAAAGGAAACATTGAATTATATGTGTAGAGAGTCTTTTGAAAAGATTTACATCACAAGGTGGTGGTTGACTTCGATAACTGGGTACGATTTTAAACGTGATACTACCACGAGCATCTCGCTAAAAGATACCAAATGAAAAGCGAATTCAAAGACGAATCTTGTCTACATACCAGCATTTGTTGTAGATATTGTATTGGATGATTGGAAACAGTTTGTCCATTGATTTCTTTGATTTCATCACCGACATGTAATGTACCTTGTCTATGGATCATACCACCATTGAGTATACGTGACACGATACATCGTTTATTTTCAGTCATACGAAGTGTTATACCCTAGACATACGATGTAAATGAATATATAGTGAGAGAAAACTTATATTGTTAATTGTCTACCAATGGTTCATCTGTGTTGCGTTGAAACTGAACAAGTCGAACACGTGTTACATCACACGCTGCATCACCAATTCCGTCTCCATCTTCATCATTCTGTCTTCTACCATTCTGGCCGGCATAGTCATTCTCAATCGCAGGCTCGAGTGCAGATGTATTCTTCCCAAGGTAAGGTGATGCGACATGTCCAGTCTCATCAGCATAAACTTCGTGTGCAACAACATCATGTGCTTGTAGAAGAGCCTAGAAGACAAGCAAATGAGCAAAAATACAAAAACAACTCGTATAGTCTATTGTTAGTGTTCAATCTTTTCTTTCTGTTGAATCTATATGACTTTCTGAAATTCACGGAAGTTAGTACTTCTAAAGACTAGTTGTTCTTCTGGATGTCTTGTATTAGTTCCGTTGTTTCGAATTAAATAAGACTGTGATGCACATGTTCTTCCTTCTATCTTGATTAACGAGAAAAACGACAAGAAGAAGCAAAAAAAACAAACTACCGGAATGGATAGTTGATGAAACATCCATCTACGCCGCATTAACATACGTAAACTACAAAGCAAAAAGGCGAACGATGTTCTAATAGACGGAACATCAACAAGATTCAGCAATTGACGTTGTCAACGCCTATGCTTGCTACTGTCAGTCAATCATCCAGATATAGTGCAGCAGAAAAATAATTTGCTCTATAGAAGACAGAAATAGATTTTATTTACCTTCCTTGCCATGCAAACTCTGCTTTGACTGGTGAGAATAATCAAGGGAACGAAAAGCAAAACGCCAGAGTGTACTTTCAACTACGTTATACACAGTGTGTTCATTAGAGCAATGAATAAAAATTAAATTAAGTAGAGAGATAAATTATTCATTTAACTTTATGCTACTTCTGATTCCTTTATGATCTTTTTATGAAACTTTTTTTATGTCACGCACATAATTAATCGATACTTGTGTGATTAAATTTTTCTAAGAATACTCTATTCAGACCTGACATACATACCATTTCGGAACAAAACAGAAAAAACGTTCGTCAAGATGTCTATACTTGGATTAACATTATTAATAATATCGTGATAATAGCTGTGATAAGAAATTTATTGATCCAATCCTTAGGAGTAACGAGAGATTCTTAGAAAGAATAATATTATTCCTATGCAATTTCTAGTCTCTCGCTTTTTTTTACATTTCTCTCTCTCTCTACTTTTCTCTTTTCCTCTCTTGTTCCGCATTTTCCCTCTCTCTTCTTTAATGTTGTCTGTTTGTCGTGTGTCATCTCTTTTGTTTGATCTTAACACACATACACGAGAGAGAGAGAGGGGTGCACATCCACTTCTAATCGTTTCTGTTGAGCAACAATCTCTATGTACTGAATGGAAACGAAGAAACATAGATGGATGGCTAAATCTATCGATCCGCTCAATCTTCCCGTCGGCTATATCGTGGAACATCTCTAATTCAATCGATTCGTCCCATGTCTTTCCAACAAGTTCGTTTCGGTTATGTTTTAACACGATAGAAAGAGAAGCACATCGGACACTCTAAAGAATACTAAACAAGTCTTTGATTAAAAATATAAAGAAAATTTTCTGTCTTCTTCTGATTAACAATAGAAATAGAAATAAACACAGAAGGACACTAATCAAATTTTCGTTTATATTTAGACGAAACCGAGAAGGAGAGAAGAAGAGAAAGAACAAAAATAACAAACTAATGAACAAATAAATAAATAAATAAATAAAACTCTTATTAATCATCAACAAGAAAGATATCCTTTCTCGAGTGTCGTTTTCAACTCTACTTACTTGTTTGATATGTTCAAGTGCACAATAGATACGTAAACTGTGCTCATCCATTGTAAAGGAAACAATAATGACAATGATGATGGCACAATTGCAATCAACAACTATAACAAGAAACATGCTTCTTGCCAAGCAAGCAAACCCAACTTGGGCTAAGTAAGTTGCTGCTCAAGACAAGAGAGCACGTCAGAAGAATATTGTCATATCTTTGTCAAAAAACATAAGATAGAAATCAAAACATATAATGATTGTTCGGATCAGAATTGCCTTATGGAATTCTTGATAATAGATAATCAAGGAAAGTATTGAACGAAAAGAAATGCGATGAAAAAACAAGAGCAAGAAAAAAGAGAGATACAAAATCGAGGAGAAGAGCGGCATCGGAAAAAAAGAAGATGAAAAAAATCTCTGAGCGATGATAAGAGCATAGAGACAGACGATCAGATTTCAATCACTGTTTTCTCCCTTCTGTTCGCATCCTATCTTCTCTCGAACATGCTTTGTGTTCATCTAATGATAATCTAGTTCGAAGAAGTTCATCATTGTTCTTACCTGTACATGTGGCTCGAGAAGAATTTCGAGAAGATCATGAGAATTCGTCGATTTATCTGAATAGGAGCCCTGTTCTATTATTGAAATTACATCAGTAACTGTTTGCAATGCATTGAATTCAGGAGGACGATAGGGACGAATTTCATCGGAATTGATTCGATCGTACAACTAAGAAATAAAGAGACGATTTATGCTTTTGTTTGTTCAATGAACGATCATTTACTTCAAGTAATGTTTGCAATTGTTTATCTTCGAATAACTTCTGTAGGAAATCAAGTTCAACTCGATCGCCGATGGTTAACCATTGCGTATCTTCCAACGAATCGAGTATTTGCGAAACGGCTAAACAAAAAAGACGATGTCGATGATTTATCAATTCATATATCAATCACCTGTTAGATTTTTCATTTACGAATTAGAATACTTTATGGAATTCTGCTCTGTAAACCTCGAGGCACTATCACGAAGGGATCACTTGAAATGAAATATGAACAGAAATGTCATAGGCATAGATCGCTACCAGTATACATACTACAGATAATAATCAAGAGCAAATGATCAAGTGTATATATGTGGCGAATACAGTGAAGAGATGGTTCGATATATAAATATATCGATGATTGAATGTTATATGCTTTAGAACAAACATCATTTCCATATGTTTGCCATCTTACCGTTGCATGTAATATTTTCAGAATGTGAACGACAACTATTACGAGGTTGATGATGATGATGATGATGAGAAAGCATGCGCGTCTCGAAGCAATTAATCTACTCTATGAGTGTGTTTGTCTGTGTTCGGTTTCCTTCATTACTTCTTACATTTTCTCTAACATCCAACTCACAAGGAAGACAAGAGAGTAAGAAATTGCGAAGAATGAGAGAGGGAGAATAAGAAAGAATGCATTCCTTTTTTCCTGTTTGTTCATTTTTTCTGATGATTAAATGATGAGGGAATATACGTAGATAATTATCAAAATTTCTTACGTACCCGAAGATGCCATATCATCGAAGTCATTGGGATTTGTAGTTGGTGATAAATCTCGTGTCATATTTCCTGATAAATTTGTTGCTGTCATCGACGAACAAATCGGTATTTGTGACCAAAGGGGACTCGACACTGCTGCTAGTACTACACCCTAATACACAAGAGCAAATATTGTTAGAAACAGAAAAAAAGAAAGGTGTTCAAATACGTTTGTTTTTTTCTCCTCTAGAGCCAATAGACACAAGGCAAGTTTTGATAAAAGCCTAGGTGAGGAAGAGAAGATTACCAGATGCCATAGTCGACAAAGAGAAAATCCAGAGATAATTTCTTTTGGAAGGAAATTTCAAGCTTTCTTTCTAGATTACTTTATAGAAATTGGCTTCGTTTATAATGATATTGACAAAACAAGTGTCTTTCAAGTTACGGAGACGATTTAGAATAGGTAAGGGAAAAAAAGAATCTTTTTTCTTTTCACTAGAATTTCCTAAGATGATGTTCGCAATATCTTCAGTAGAAGTTTTTCAGTACAATGAAATTATTTAAAGATAGAATATTAAATCTTGAAGTTGTAGGGAAAATAGAATGTATTCACAATAAAAAAGCTACATACGGAGTGAGGAAGAGAAAAAGCAATTTACCTTCAATTTACGACGAGCATTGAATTTGCGTAATTCTTCAACTGTATCAGGTAAATGTTTTCTCAATGCGAATTTTTCACGTTCCTGAAAAAGAAAACAATCAAAAATGTTTCTCCATTGAGTCAATAACTATTCATTAGCCGTGATTAATCGGGAGAAAATGTCAACTAATCGAATATTGTTCGGCTTTTCCTTCGCGAGTAGGATTTAGCGCCGTATTTCTGTAATTATTAATGAAAGAGTCATCATTTCATGAAAAAGACACATGTAAACAGTGTGAAACCGAGTTTGGAGAAAATAAGATAATAAAATTAGATGGTAACGGTTATATTTATTATTTCCTTCTTTCTTTCTTATATTATCTTAATGAAATACATTCCTCCCTCTCTCTCACATTCTCACTACATATACTGAACTTGTTCTCTTGTCAACTTTTCTTCTACTTATATTTATATAGACAAAAGATTTCATCCATTATTCTCTTTTCTTTCTCTGTCATTCAGAAGAGTAGGAGAATCTTGTCAGTATGTGTATTTGTATACGTTGTATCTTCTTTTTTTAAGATCAACTACTTACAGTTAATGATACTCAAGTATCTGCTCTTTTCGTTTTTCATCTCGAAATCACGCATACGCTTCTTAGAATCGATCAAATTACTAAATATCACTATTTCAGTGGAATAATGTCACGATAGTGTATTTTTTCCCTAACAAAAGAAAGAAAGAAAACTTCGGTCCATTTTCTCACTCACTCTCTCTCTCTTAGTTAGTCTCTTGTTCGCACTCTCCCATGAGGCTGAGTTCTATTGACAGTGCATATGAAATTGATTCATACAGGATGATACATATTTGCTTAGAAACATTTGTTGAGATAACACACATTCAAAATCTTTTTGTAATAACATACACATTACTGTTTATTGAGAAATTTTTTATCCGATTATATGTATTTAATCTATCGAGAGACGAGGAGTAAAGAAGATAATCAGGTAATCGATGATAAACAGTAGCTAATGCGTGAGAGTGTTTCTTTTTCCACTACCATGTCCCGTCTGCTATTATCTAATTAATAGAATCAACAAAAAGAAGCGCTTTTAAGTTTATCATAATATTTGCAAATGTCGTGCTTGAGGAATACATTCGAGAAATTGTTCTGTTTTCATGTCGGACTGACATGAAAACTCCACACAGAGATTTCGCAAGGTTCAGTTAGATCGATTTGCTTATTTGTTTACTTACTCGGATCCATGGATGTGCAAGCGCATCTTGTATTGTAATTCGTTCGTTTTGGTTCAGACATAATAGCCGAGTAACTAGATCTTTAGCGGATTCGGAAATATGTTCCCATTGTTTACTTTGCATCTGAACACGAAATGGTACTTATTAACTTGTATCATTCAGATGAAGACTTACATTACAAACACCCTTCGCAATCATTTCAAAAACTCGATTTCTCGTGCCAGCGAATGGTAAATTACCAGCGAGAAGAACATACAGCATGACTCCCAATGCCCACATATCAACTGGCCGACCGAAACCTGGTGATTCTTTATTTACTACTTCAGGTGCCATAAATGCTGGTGTACCAATACGACCTGCCTGTACGAAGCCAGATTCAGGTAATTGTAGAGCAACACCAAAGCCTCCTAATTTAACCGGTGCAGCATTTTCCTTAGATGACAATAAAACACAATGAGGTTTTAAATCACGATGAATGATTCCTCGTTCATGAATATATCGAATAGCTTCAAATATTTGACGCATATAATGACTACAGGAAATTAAAGGAAATGTTTGAAAGAAAAGGAAATGTTTAAGAGAGATAGTCACCTAGCTACAGCTTCACTGTATACAAAACCGGCGAGAGCACGCTTTTCAATCTCGAAACACAGATCTGATCCGTCCATACTAGAAGAGAAAAGTAGGATATATTCGAACTCATCACAGTTCATATCATTCGAGAACGTACTATTCGAAAACCATGAACAAACAACCTTCCGCTTCAAACGTCTCATACAGTTCGACAATGTGTGGATGCTTAAGACTTGCACAGATACTCGCTTCACGTCGTAGATCTAAAATATTCCCAGATGAAGAAACAAATCTGGCTTTGGAGAAAGGCTGATCAAATCTACCTTCGGCAGTAAATCCTGGTGTTGCGGTGAACTGTTCGACATCAATGATTTTAACAGCATATTGTTTATCGCCCGATTTATTCGTGCAACGTCGTACTACACTGAATGGTCCCCTACACAATAAAAAGAAGTCAAAAAGAATGTTATTTAAATCATTGAAATCCCGACGGGGGAAAAACATCGTATTCATACTTTCCGATAATCTCATAGAGATTATATAAATCAGTAAAAGATGTTGTTGTTGTGGCAGTTTGTTCATCATTATCGGGTATTGTCGTGGCTGTTTCTATATGCATGATGATAATCGACGAGACAACATCAATAGATGCTTATTGTCGATAATTCTAAGAAGAAGAAAGAAAAACATCGACCGATCAAATATATGTACGAAATCTCGAAGCACAACGATGAGTGACAAGATAATATGAATGATATGTTAACATTAGCTTTTGTCCTAGATAAGTGAGTGACTGAATGATGAACTCAATGCGACAAAACGACATACTAGCCATGCTTCGGAAAAAAAGGCTAATCAGGCTAATTTGATTGCATTTCCTATCATCCTAACATGACGGATCCGAACAAGCAGATGCAGCAACAGCAATTAGCTTTAACCAACTTGAAGAGAAAGAAAAAAAAAGTCGAGAGAGAAAGAGATATAAGAGAGTGTGTGTGTGGTGGAGAAAAGGACGAGAAAAAAAGTAAACAAATAACAAGAAACAGAACAAATGATTGATTTGAC